CCCAAGTAGATGGGATTATAGAGGTGTACCCCCACATCCAACTTGTTCTTTATGTCTTCAATTGGGGTGTCTAGAGTAAAAATGCCATTTGGTGGTAGAAGAATAGTGATTCCCAAGTATTTTTAAATCCTTGGACTCTGAATATAACCTTACACTGAAATGAGACTTTGAACGTGGAATTAAATTAGGAGAAGTGTGCTGGGCACCTGTAGCTAATGTCTGTAATCCTAGCTACTAGGGAGGCTGAGATCTGAGGATCACCATTCAAAGCTAGCCCAGGCATAAAAGTCCCCATGATACTCAACTCCAATTACTACTCAAAAACCAGAAGTGGCCCTGTGGCTCAAAGTGGTAGAGCACTAACCTTGAGCAAAAGAGCTCAGGGACAGAGCTCAGGTCCTGAGTTTAAGCCCCATGACTGACCAAAAGAAAAAAGAAAAAAGAAAAAAAGAAGAGAAATGTGTTTACTTATTATTCATCATTTATTTGCTGATGCTTAGGTGTGAACTCAGGGCCAAATTAAAAACCAAACAACAAAAACCCCAAAACCCAAACCACAAAACATCTCAAACAACAACACAGCCAAATCCCTAGCTGGACGCTGGTGGCTCACGCCTGTAATCCTAGCTACTCAGGAGACTGTGATCTGAGGATCACCATTCAAAGCCAGCCGGGGCAGGAAAGTCCATGAGACACTTATTTCCAATAAACCACCAGAAAATCAGAAGTGGTGCTGTGGCTCAAGTGGTAGAGTGCTAGCCCTGAGCTGAAGAGCTGAGAAACAGTGCCCAGGCCCAGAGTTCAAGCCCTATGACAAATGCCCCCCCACCAAACAAACAATACATCTTGTGTATTTCCCATAATTATGACACACTAGGCTACAGCCAAAGGGAACAATACAAATAGCAATAATATCCTTAGTGGCTAACTTGTCAAAACCTTGAATTGAGAGAAACATTCCACTTTTCTGTACCAGTCAGATAATAACCTGTTGGTTAAACTTCCCATGCTACGTAGAAATCCTCTCTACAACTAATCTGGAAAGATGTCATTCAGCCAATGCTGAATGTCAGTTCCATACCTAGATTGTTGAAGTGTGTCTGACTGCCTGTGATCTTTCTCCTATTGGCATTTAGTTCTGACTGATGAAACTACACTAGTCTTTTCCATGCTTTTCCACCTATGTGGACAGGTGTCCACTAGGACTAGACAGTGGTCTAGTCTTCTTTCATCCTACAGTAAGTCACTTCAGCTTTCTTATCTGTTGCCTGCATAAAACATTCCAGGTTCTCTGATTTTGCTTCCCTCCTCTGGGGGGAAAAAATCCCATATATACAACTCACAAAACTGATACTTCAAGTTCAGTCTAACAGCCCAAAGCATATGTAACAATAATATACTACACATCAGAATAAGTGTCATTTTACTTGACCTGGATTCTACAATGCAAGCTCATTTTCAATTTTTCATTCATTCCTCATAAACATATCAGATATATATCTCTTTTCATCGTTTATGACTTTTCAAAACCTAATACATAATTTTATATTTTTCTCTACAGAATATTTCTCTGCATACTCAAAAGAAGAATATTTCTTTTTTAAAAAATGTGTGTGTATGAATCTTAGGACTTGAACTTAGGGCTTACACTCTGTCCCTTTTTTTTTTTTTTTTAAGGCTAGTGCTCTACCATTTGAGCCACAGCTTCACTTCCAACATTTTTGGTGGTTAACTGGAGTTTCACCAACTCTCCTGCTTGTCTGGCTTTAAACTGTGATCCTGAGGTTTCGGCCTCCTGCGTAGTTAGGATTACAGGTGTGAACAACTGGCACCTGACCATCCATCTTAAGCAGCAGAGTTCTACCTCTTTAACTCTGACTTTTGAGATTCTAAAAAAATGATATTTTTTCTCCTTTTTTTTTTTTTGTTTTTAAATTATGGATACCAAATGACTTTCTCCCCAAGTTTCTGTTATCTCTTATTTTTTGGAAGTAAGTTCAGAGCACAGATGTCACAGGAACTTCAGATATTCTTCCTTTTATTAAACTTAAAAGTCCTTATTCTTACCTTTAAAAGATTTGTGATACATCACACAGAAAAACAAATCATATCCTTTATGTGTCTGTGTGTGGTGGGGAGCAGATAGAGGGCAAATAAAAATAATTTCCCGAGTAATTTTTTCTTCCAAGAAATGACTTCATTAGTCCTATTTATCTATAAATATATGATTTAGATATATATATACTAAAAAACAACAGAAGAAAAATTCTTATTTATGTTAATTGCCTTTATCATTAACAGAATTTAACTCCATTTAGGATAGCAAATGATTAATTAAACCAATTTTTTTGAAGGGAGATGAAAGGATAAAACAAATCGTTTTCTAGGCTGTTTATCTTCTGTGGTCTGCACACATTTCTTATTCCTACTTTCTGGGGAAACAAAACAAAAACAAAACCTAAAGCTCCAACAAAACCCTCCAAATTTTAATTGCCTATTTTGATCCTTTATCTTCATCTTTTTTGTTTTGTATGTGTGTTGTGGGGCTTGAACTCAGGGCCTGGGCGTTGTGCCTGAGCTTTTCTGCTCAAGGCTAATGCTCTACCACTTTGAGCCACAGTGCCATATCTGGTTTTCTGGTAGCTAATTGAGGGTAAGAGTCTCACAGACTTCCTGCCTAGGCTGGCTTTCAACTGTGATCCTCAGATCCTAAGATCTCAGCATCCTGAGAAGGTAGGATTATAGGTGTGAGCCACCAGCGCCCAAAACACAAGGAACTGGACAGGAAATTACATGGTACCACTACCTATGGTTAAGCATCCATTATGCTTACATACATATACTAAAAGGAAATGCAGCTGGATACATTTAGTTAAGAAAAGAAGACTGAGGGTGCAGTTCAGTGCAGAATATGTACCTAGCACGTATGTGCAAGGCCCTGGGTTCCATATCTAGTGAAGAAAAACAAAGTATGAAAATGGGTACTACTTATTAATCTAATCATCTAGATTAAAAAACTGACCATTTACTTTTCTGTCCTATTAGTTCATCGTGTATATTTTGTGATATACTTTTGTCCTTCCTGTTTTGTTACTTTTTGTTATTCTGGTCTTGCATGTTACCTACTGAGTAGCTGGGATGAGAGATGTGCTCTACCATACCAACTTTGTATTGGTGGTTGATATGGGGGTCTTAAGAAACACCCTCTCACCTCCTATCCTCTCAATCTCAGCTTCAAGTAGCTGAAGTTACAGCCACTGTACCTGGTTTATAATGTCATCCTTTAAAGCTCTGACTGAATGTAAACACCTTAGAACTGTTTTATTATTCCTTTTTGTGTATCTTGACTTCTTAGTACTATAAGCCTGAGAGGTGAATTTGGCCCTTAAGACATTAAGTTTACCACTTTGATCCGAACCTTCACAAAATCTATGTGAAATTTAAAATGTGTGATGAAAATTATGGGACTGAATTGAAGGTAGGATAGAAGTGGCCAGGATCAGTGAGAAGCGAATACCATAACCTCACACCTCTAAATATTACTATTTTCAGATATGAACTAATTAATATACCAAATTCTTGAAAGGTAGCAACTAAGATCATGCTTGGTTATTTTTATCTCATAGGTCAAGTGAACATAATCTAAGTAACTTTACCCTTTGGATTATGTATCAGTTGGCTATAACAGTGTGCCAAATGAGTTGGCTAAATGGTCAAACAGGGTAATTCAAATTAGCTGAAGAAAGGCAGCACTAGGCACCAAAATCCTAGGAAAAATGACTCCGATTTGACTTTAATATCCTTACTTTTCATCTTCCCTGCCCACAAGCAGGTTTCTAGTTCTCCCAAATATGGTTCCCCAAAGGGAACCGAGAAAGGTTCCATGAAGTGTGCTACAGGGTAGCATTTACCTTTTAAAATGGAAACAGGTCAAAGCACACAAATCTCCAACTAGCAAAACTGTAGAGCAAAGTCTGTGAACAAAGAAATCTTTCTTGCTCCTCTGCTCATCATTCCCGTGCCAGATGTATAGGACTAATTTAAAATCTCTGATTTTTCAAAGTAACTGTCTTAGACAATCATATATACCAAACAAAACACGTCCTAAGTATGAGGGCTTACTCTTGTTTTCAACCACACACACTTGGAGTTAGAAAGTCAGCCTATCCTCAAAGTGAAAAGGCTTAAAAGCTTTTTTTGGGAATCATCAGTGTCTCCCATCCCTAGCTCTTTTAAATACTTCAACTAAATTTAATCATGAAGGGAGCCTAGTTAAGTAGTAAAAGAAATTCAAATGATATATATCTTAAGACTGAGACAACGTGAGTCCCAACTTAAAATTCTAGATTCAAGCAGTACCTGAACCATCTTTCCTTTTCATCCTAGTCCATTCCAACTTTGTGTGTGTGTGGGGGGGGTGTGTGTGTGGCAAGAGACCACTGCTTATTTCCAGTGTGGTCGCCAAATGATTAGCTACTCTTATAAAAACGTGCAACACTAAGGTTGTCAATAGCTAATTAAGCAACTACCAAGTAACATGCTCCCATTTAATAAGGACCTGTAGGACCTTTAACGTCAAACGTGGTTACGAGGTATAGTGCACTAAGGACAGTGAGGAGACACCATTAGTCTAACAAATCCTTGCGGGGGTGGGGGGGGCCTTTCAGGGTAACAAGACCGGAAGTTGGTTCAGGTATTGTCGATACGACAAAACAAAACAAAGCCCCAATCTCCAGACTAATCAAACAGTTCCTCCCATCCCAAGAACGCAAATGCAACCTTGCACCGTGGTGTGTGGAGGGGGACGGGCTCATTCGGCACACCCCCAGCCTTCTCCGGCCCCTCCAGGAAGAGAGCGAGATCGCCAGGACCAGAGTTTAGGGAGAAAGGTCGGGGGGGGGGGGGGGCGAGGGGCCCCGCGTGTTCTCCGGCCGGCGAGCCGCGGGCGCGCAGGCGGGGTCAGCCCGGGAGGCCCGGCGGCGCAGGCCGGCTCCGGTTACCTGCGGCGAAGTGGAGCGGGGTGGACTTCCTGCCGGCCGTGTCGCGGCTGTTCACCTTCTCCGGCGTCACCAGCCGCTTGACGCGCTCCACGTCCCCGTTGCGGCACGCCTCGAACAGCTCCCGGGCGGCCGGCTCGGCGGCCTCGGCCCCCGCGCTCGAGCAGGCCGCGCCCCCGCCAGCGCAGCGGCGGCCCGACATGATCCTGGCCGCCGCCGTCGCCAGCAGCAGCAGCAGCGCCAGCAACGGTAGCAGGAGCCCCGGCCCCGCGAGGAGGAGGGCGAGGCCCCCCGGCGGAGACGCGCTCAGGGCCCGGGCCGCTGGGCTGCCCACTGTCACCGGACTCGGTGCAGTCCCATGGCCACGCCGCAGGGCGCCCCTGGTTCGGTTCCGTGTCCCCCAGCAGCTGCCCCGCGGCGACGGAGGCAGCGTGAACGCGACGCTCGACCCCGGAGCGACGCGGCGGCGGAAGCTGGCCAAACCCCCACCCGCCAGCTCGGTGGAGCGCTGGGAGCTCGCGTGACGTCACCCGTGCGCGTGCGCAGTTGCCGGACACCGGTGGGGGCAGGTTTTGTGTGTGTGTGTGTTTTTTTATTTCCTGCGAGCCTAGCGGCGCGGAGGGGCTTGTGGGAAATCCGGGGCGAGAGCGCCGGTGGCTGGGGGACCGCCGCCATTTTTACTGCTTGCTCCGCGGAAGGCCGGAGACTTTGCCTATGGTCTTTTATGTTTTGAAGGCCTAGACTTCCCGGGGTGGACTTCCTTCCTGTTGTTGTCTCGCTGCTCCGGTGTTGGAAGTAATTCCCCTGCAGGCCTTGGTGTGGACGTTTTTGCAGGTGCAGGCTGCCCGGTGGGCTTCCGTTTTCTCCCCCTGACCCTGCCCTGCTTTGCTGCTTGTAAACCCACCACCGCTCAGCGATGAAGGGCTTGGCCTTTCGCTTCTGAGAAGCTGGGGGTGAGTCGCTCCCAGGTACTGCGGACATTTAAACCAGTGGAGGCCGAGTCCCGGCTGTTGCGGTTGGCAGGGATGGCGGCCCTGGCAGTGACCTTTCCCACTGTGAACCCTCCGTTCGGTCCAGGGTGAAGGGCCTGCATGGAGCATCAGGACTGAGCCCATCACGGCTGAGGGACACCCCCTCCAACTCCCCCCCCCCCCCTCCAGAAAGCTTTCTGGGTTGTAAATTCTCTATTTTTTTTTCTGGAACCAAAGAACACAAGCATAACTCGTTCAAGCTGAAGCTAGTGAAGAAACGGAAAGAAAAGTATATACAGCTTTTGGTCTCATAAAATCACACATGCCCATTCTGGCATGACAAGCAAACCCCACCTCACTCACTTCCTTCCCCCCTCCCCCCATCATTGACTGGTTTTCAGGAAATCCAGGTTTTGTTTTGGAGTGTTGACTCACTACTGTGCTAGGAGAGAATGTTCACACACACACACACCCCTTTGGGGCATTTTTTTTTTTTTTACAATATGAGCATTGTAATAAATATGTAATTGTGCACTTAGTATATTCAACATAATTTTAAATTATGGTGCATATTGACATAATGAACATCCTTGAATACACAATAACGAGAACATTCCCAATATGATTGTCTCATTCTTCTTCCCCATTTCATCCATTTGCCAACTTGTATTATTCACAACTTATATTATTTTTATTATTCATTAGTAGTTTCCGCTTCCTATGTATTCACTTCGGATGTGTATATCCCTAAACCACATATTGTTTAGTTTTACTTGTTCATTTTTTCACTTATTTGCTTGTGCAATTTATGCATTCCTTTTCATTGCTTTATAGACCTGCACTTTGTGAACATAATACATTTATAATCCTATTGGTCATTTGTGTGATTGCCAATTTTGTTATTGCAAACAACTGTGCTGTGAACATTCTTGTATGTTTCTGGTGCATATATGCAAGAATTTAATAAGAGAGGCTTTCAGATTTTGTGACCACTACTCATCAGAAATGCAGTTGATAGGAAAGTAAGCCAGCATGTGAGTGCTAGTGGGAAGGAGAAGGGCAAAATACTTTATGTACATGTTTGAAATGGAACAATGAAGCTTGTTGAGACTGGTGGGGGAAGATGGGAAAAGGACTAGGGGAAATGAGGAAGGGGGAGTCTGATCGAAGTTATATTGAATGAATAAATGGACCTGTCAAAATGAACCTCACCGTTGTACAACTAATTGATGCTAATCTTAAAATATGGGGGTGATCCAAGCACCGGTGGCTCACACCTGTAAGGCTAGCTACTCAGGAGGCTAAGATCTGAGGATCATTGTTCAAAGCCAGCCCAGGCAGGAAAGTCTGTGAGACTACTTATCTCGAGTTAACCACCCAACAGGCTGAAATTGAAGCTGTAGCTCAAGTGGTAGAGTGCTAGCCTTGAGCAAAAAAGCTAAGGGACAATGTCCAGGACCTGCACAGAAAAAAAAAAGTCAGGGAGGAGAGAGAAGAAATGTAATTTTTGTTTTTCACCAATAAACACACTCAATTGTATAAAACAAGTTTCTCAAAATAAAACAGTATTTGTCCAATGTCACTAAATCATTCCAATGTGTGACTCTTAGTAAATGTATTACAGAACTCATCAAAAGTGGTGAGCCTTAGTTTGAGAAACACTACAGGAATGGACTAAGGGAACATCAATGTTCACTTTGTGAAGTAATATAAAAATGATCAGAGACTGCTAATATACACATCTACCAGCAGCATGTAGGTTTTATGTTAAAGCTTATCCTACTTCTTGCCAAACCTTGGTATTTTCAGGTTAAGTGTTTTGATTTGGTGAGTGTAGATAGAATTTCTGAAAGCTTTTAGCATTTTATAGTAAATGATCACTAGAGAAATGCAAATCAAAACTGAAATGAAATATCTTTAACCTATTAGATATGGCTGCCATTAAACAGTAACAGCAACAAAACTTTCAGAAAATAACAAGTGTTGGTGAGAATGTGGACCAATTAGAATCCCTATGGGATCATCAAATGGTGCATCTACCCTAGAAAACAATATGGTAGTTCCTCAAGCAAATACAGAACCATACCATTTGATTTGCTTCTGAGTACATATGTCCAAAAAAAGGACAAGGTCAAACAGATATTTACACACTCATGTTCATAGCAACATTATTCACAAGAGCCAAGAAGTACAAACAACTCAGATATCCCAAAACGGATGAAGGGATAAGCAAAATGTGGTACACATATACAATGGAATAATAGTCTCAATAACGAGGAAATTCTTGTCATATATGCCACCAATAGGAGAATCTTGAGGATATAACAAGTGAAATAGACCAATGAAAAAGTAGATGAATAACACTACTTGTATGATGTATATTTTTATATTTGATGCTGAGTGCTACCATAGTAAAATACCACAAAATAGATGGTCAAAACCACAAATACCCATTTCTCACTGTTATGGAGGCTAGATATTCAAGGTCAAGGTTGGCGGGGGTTGGCTTTGTCCTAAGCCTCTCTCCTTTGCCTTACTAGTCTCTGGCATGGCTGTTCCTCTGCATGTACATTCCTGGTGTTTCTTCTATGTATCTAGTCCTCTTCATGAGATGATTTTTAACATACTAACCTATGTACTTAAAGAGTGGTGATGATGGCCTGGTGTGGTGATACAAACTTGTATTCCTATTTTAGGAGGAGGAGATAAGAGGATTTCAGTTCAAAGTTCGTGTCCAGTAAGGAAAAATTAACAGGAGACTATATCTGTAAAACAAGCTAAAATCTTATACTGGGGAAATGGCTCAACTGGTAGAGCATAGAGACCCTGAGTTCCAAATGCCAGTAACCCCTCTCCCCAAACAAATAATGGTGATAATGAGGAAAAATAGCTAATAAAGAGTATTAGTCTGTTTGTGATACTGTAACATAATACCGGAGACTGAGTACTTTATAAACAATAGAAATGTATTCCTTACAATTCTGGATGCTGAGAAGTCCATGGTGAAAGTACTAGCAGGTATGGTATCTTACAGGTATGTTCTCTGCTTCTGAGATGATATCTTGTTGCTGCATCCTCTGGAAAGCTATAACACTATGCTCACAGAAGGGCCGGGCACTGGTGGCCTGTAATCTTAGATACTCAGGAGGCTGAGATCTGAGGATCATGGTTCAAAGCCAGCCCAGGCATGAAAGACTGTGAGACTCTTATCTCCAATAAACCACCACAAAACTGGAAGTGGTGCTTGTGGCTCAAGTGGTAGAGTGTTTTCCTTGAGCTGAAGAGCTGAGGGACAGCGCTCAGGCCCAAGGTTCAAGCCCCACAACAGACAGACAGAAAGAAAGAAAGTCCTCAGAATTTAGTCACCTATCAAAGGCTACCCACCTATTTTAATACTATTGCTTTGGGGATTTAATTTCAACATAAATTTTGGGGAAGAAACCATTTCTTAAGCCATAGAAGTATTTTTTCATATGTTTATTGAGTATAATTCCTTATAGTAAAATGTCTTCATCTTGGGTCCATTTAGTTTTTTGGTTGCAAAATGTTTTTTTCAATATTTCTTTTTCTATCATTTGCTTCCCTCGTTTCTGGATCCTCTTCGTTCCTATTTATGTTCATTAGCAACCAGATGCAATTCTTCTGAGATCAGCTTGTTTTTAATATCTTGGCTGAATCCAAGAAGCATAATGTATGATTAACTTTTTTTTCCCCCAGTGTCTTCTTCTGGACAACTGTTACAAAGATTTGACTTTATGCAATGCAGGAGCTGGTAAAACAATCTCTGTAAGGCTATTGTCTTTCTGTCTAACACTAGTGCTTGAAATCTGTATGACAAGCAGTTGAGAAAGGACAAAGAGTATGATGGGAATAGAACAGGATCAAAACCAGAATCAGCTCAGTTCTCACTGTCTCTAACCTCGGTAACATGATTGTCTAGAAGAAACTGGTGGTCCTTTTCAATGGAGCTGGAGTAGCTGATAGGTTCCAGAGATCCTATAACAAGAAGCTGAGCCAAGAGAAAAGTGGCGATATGTAATAAACTATAAAAATGCTTGTGCTGACATCTGAACATAAAAATTACAGTTATTATTTCTGTTTTCCAAATCACCTACAAAAATAAATGAAATAAATGACATATGAAAGAAAATAAAATTTTGCCTGGCCTTATGCCATACAATAGAAGCCAATTGCTACTAGATTAAATGTGAATGTAACAGGTTAAGCAAGAAAGCTCTAAGAATAAAGCACAGCAGAATGTGGAATAGTCTAATTTTTTTGAAGGACCCTGCAAATGTCTTAAAAAATAAAGGAGAAAAGTGATATATCCCAGACTTTGTTTCTCAAAAATACCATTAGGAGTATAAAAAGTGAAGCCCTGGAGTAGAAGAAGATGGTTAAAATATATTTAGATGAACCACTGACTTAGTAAGCCTCAGATACACAAAGAACTCATATGGGTTAATATAAAAAAGAAGTATTGGGAAAAACCATAAAAGATTTGAACATTCTTACACAATAAGCATGGAAATAATTCCATCGG